TCACCCGCCCCGTCTCCCCCGCTTCCGCCTCCGTCCCTGCCCCCGCCTCCGCAGCAGTTGTAGCCATTTTTTTAAAATATTTGAAAATGCCACAAGTTCATATGAAGTACCCTCAACCATTACATTATTATCCCGGTGCAATGGCACAACGCCGCAACTGAATCGTACTTCTGATGTGGTTATCAAGTTTCAACTCATAAGGTTCCTATCTGAGAGAGTTATGCGTGTCATATACTTCCGTACATACATGTGTACATAAATCCCGATCTTCGGGTACATAATTATGATTATCTCCGGCCCACCCACACTAATATTAAGATCTCTAAATCAGCACTAATATACCTTAACCCTGACGTGTTAGCGAAATTACAACTCAAAAGAACCGCAAACCGTATAAACTAAAGAAATCGCCATTGCCATGTTTGAAGAAATGATTACCAACTTAACAGTTTTGTGAAAGCAATGTGGTTGAAGTGGAAAGTAAACGTCCATGTCTGAGTTCGTTGTTCGTTGTCATCAAGATTGTTCTTTTCTATTTTTCTATTCATCGTAGCGTACAAGAAATTGATAATCCCAACGGGAAAACATTCAGATCTCATTGACGTCACGTCAATGAGAAAGAAAATATAGCAGCGAGACAAACATGCAAATTACAAAAACCTGAGTTAAGAGTTCTTTGAAAAAATATTTTTTTCAATAATACTCAGTAAATGCTATTCCGTACACTTAGATCCCTATGAATATGAGTAAAGTATTGTCATTATATTATGCTCAATTTAATTACCTGAATGTAACAGCGTAATAGTTAAAATACGTTTAATTAAGAATCTTGAAATCAAATTCTGCGCACAATTATACAAAAGCGTACGTTAAAAAAATGTATTTTGATTACAGCAGCATAAAATTATCAGAAATGTGCGAGTGAAGACTCTTTGCCCACAATGCTTGCTTCCCACCCTCATGCATACTCCTAAAATAATGCAATGCACAAATTTTTGCTCTGCGCATAAACAAGTGTATGGATTTTTCCCGCAAAATTACACATATTTATAATTATCTAACATTTGCCATTTTACACCGATTTTCTCTGATATATTACACGGAGAAATTGTATGTTCAACACATTGATCTTAAAATAAAATGTAAATATCTTGCACAAAACTGCTTTTATGCATTAATTTAAACGATAAAACAAAAAAACGGAGGTTTGTTCCGCTAAAATCTGTTATATAAAAATTTTATTTTAATAGCAAGTTAATGCAGTGAAAAAATGAACAATAATTAAATAAAGTTTAACTTAAAAAATGGAAACGAAATATGTTTTTTTTTGTATCTTTTCTGAAATAATAAGAATGAAATGTAATTTTTACAATTGTAACAAACATTTTTAAATAATTACTATTTATTTAAAGGACATGAGGATAAACCATATTACTATATGTGTGTTTGGCAATGCTATAATTACCTTGTCTGCTTATACAGGTACCAACAACATCCTATCTGTGTGGAAAAGTTAGAATTAAAGTTGGACATTATTAACGTAAATTGACCCCCATTGACGTGCTATTATCCCTGAAAATAATTTGTCGTGCACACGATAATAAATACTGCACCACGGAAGTTTTTATTTCTCTCAATAATTGTAGACAGAGATTATGGGCTGCAGCTGGTCGTCAATTGTTCAACATTGTTTCTTTCCCCAGAGCTATTCGCATCCCCCACACGCAGAGAAACGTTGATTAACCAATAAATTTGAATTGTTTATATAGCGTGATTACATTTTCAAAATTTGAAAAGTGTCTTTGCTACGCACGATCGCGATTAACATAAAATACACGTCTCATTTAGAAAATCAACTTAATATATTCTCATTATGTTAATCACTGACATTTATTTCTATACAAAGTGCCCTCGTGTACAATTCAGTTGTTTTTGTACTATAAACCAGATGATACACGCGTACTCACGAGAATTTCTACTATCATTGTGACGCAACAGGCCATGCGTAATGAAGTTTCATTTACAAGTATTGTGGTATCTGCGTTGCAGCAACAGTTCTTTTTTGTTTGTCACAATATTTAATGAACTGTTTAGAAAGGATAGAAGTATTATTTAGGCATCCACACATCAATAGAAACGTATCAACACATAAAGTCCTTTTAAACGGTGCACACACGAGGAAAAAGAAAAGAGTTGTCGTAGAAAGGAAAACGTGAAGTCCACTATGATGTCATAGCCGGACTGAGAGTCACTGTGTGGTACAGCGAAAGTCGGTAACCACGTTCAGCGGCTAAGGAATCGCTGTTTGGCAATGTACGGTATCCTGAGTTTGCGATTGTATATGTTGTTTTTATTTACTTCCGCAGAGCAACAATTTTTCTATACAAGGATTGTTTTAAGTTATGTGACAATTTGAACCCAAACACACGTTACATAAAACAAAGTTACATCATTAAGCGCACAAAAGGTAGCTTTCATAAATTACAATACTTATTTTTAATAAAGAGAATTAAGAGAAGCACGCACATTCCTCAGTATAGTTTGATGACTTTCCAGTGTATTTTTTATTTAATCTTCTATTACTTGTTTTTATACTTTTGAATAGATGAATATTTTTGAAACTTTTGAATGAATTTATGATGGTTCATCACATTGAATGAAATATTTAGCACTATGGAATCTATTTTTGATTGGTAATGTTCTTGAGGATAGGCCACGCTTGTAGTAAGTTGCTAATATATTACAAATAATAGCGTACATGTGACTTTTACATTGCAAGGACTCAAGAATGTTACATTCATTGTGGAATGGGGAAATGGGAAACAAGACGACGGTTGGGCGAACAAACTAAATCCGTCAATTTGGACAGATCTGAATATCTCAATACATGCACCCGACTGCATATTATACACGGCATGGTCTGAAGGTTCTGATTAACGGAGAATATCAATAGAAGTCTATCACGCAGGGTCAATGTGCGAATTGACGGGTGAGGAGTGAGCGACCTCTTTTAGATTGTTTCATTTTCCACGCTGAAGGAGTAGCTGACTGTCTTCATCAGGGACGCCATGATATTTAGGAAACAATATTAACACGAATTTAATGAGAACCCCAATCGACAAGGGTATTATCCTCTAATTGATGAACTAATTGATATTTTATTAATGTTAGGGTGTCAAAGATAGAAAAACTTTAGAGTTACTGCTTTTGCTGCGGGAATTCCTCAAAAACTTGGCTTTTGATGTCAGGGCGCGCAAAAAATGTATTTCTACTTTTTGTTACTGAATGCCCAAGGAAGAACTCATAATTATTTTAAAACTGAAAAAGACATAAATTGTAACTTTTTGCCCTCACTTCGTCGGTCTATCTGTATGGAATGAAAGTTCACCTGGAGAAATTAGTGAATTCGCACGCAGAGCCAGGTGTCGTTCCTTCTAAGAGACTCTACTCGCTTTGGTCGTATCTCAAAACCATTCTCGCGAACGGGGGTTGTTCGCGTGGCGATAGTGCTGGCCCGGCGAGGCAAGCCACACAAGAGGCCAGGCCCTGCCCCGGCCAGGCAAAGAACACAAGAGGTGTTCCTCGGCCGCATCCGGAAGTGAATTAACACATAAGCAGTAAGCGTCAGTGGGTGGATTAACATATAAGCAGTAAACATCCGGGGGAGGATTAACACATAAGCAGTAAGCGTCAGTGGGTGGATTAACATATAAGCAGTAAATATTCGGGGGTGGATTAACACATCAGGAATAAGCGTCAGTGCGAGGATTAACATATAAGCAGTAAACATCCGGGGGTCGATTAACACATAAGCAGTGAGTATCCGGGGTGGATTAACATATAAGCTGTAAGCGTCCGCAGGTGGATAAACATGTGAGCAGTAAACATTCAGAAGTGTATTAACGCATAAGCATCCGCAGATACATTAATAAGCAGAAACTATACGAAGGGAATTAATACACAAGCAACAAGCATCCGGGGGTGAATTAACATTCTCCGCAAGCATCTTAGGGTGGATTAATACATAGGTACACGAAACACGTCCTGAAGGTCCCCGCTGAGTAGGAGCCATCCAATAAGTTCTTATATAAAAATTTAGATTGTTGCAATAAACATGAGAATTAAGTTGGTACGCGCAGTGAGAGAATAGGCAGAATAGGACAATAAAATATTTACAATTTTCAGACAAAATCGAAACTGTTTCACTGTTGTTTTTTATTTTTCCCGAGTTTATTGGTATCTTAAAAAACAATAGACAAGTCTCACGTGTCCGAAAGCTGCAAATTTTTCTTTCAATTCCTGCGCTACATTAAAATTACGGATTAATTATCAAAATTGCAAACTTAATACTGTATTTCAAATTTTACATTTTGTTTGTTTCGAAAACGCGGTGCGTTCAACAGTTCAATGCTTCCACAGTTCGGTCATATTTGGTCTCTTAATTTATTAACCCGGGCCTGGCCGCATCATACCCATAAGGGTGCGGCGCCCGCGTGCATGATAAGATTCGCGGTAACCTCGGAACGTTCTTTTCCTCGGGCGACAGCTCCTATTCGACATTAAATCCTTACTAGCTCGATTCGGAATATTAGGAAGACGGATCACTCTTCACCACGACAATGTGAGCTCTCACACATCGGCTCAAACATCAGCATTTTTGAGCACCCAAAACAAAAATATTGATATTTTACTGATCAAGTCTCATTGATTGACATTTTATTGATCAACGTAACACAGTCTAGATAAATAATTTCTACAAAAATGACTGCGCGAAGCTCCCAAATTTTGAAAAAGAGATTATCTTTAGCGATTCGTGAACAAATCCATCGTTTGATCAAACATAAATTTTATTTAAAAAATGGCATTTTAAAACAGAAGCTTCTGGTTATCTTGAAAGTTCCAGGTTGCACAAACTTCTGATATGAAATGAAATGTTTTCTTATTAATATGCATTTTGAGTAACTAGGCAGTAGATTGATGCGTCCTTTGATTGATAAAACTATTTTTATCACATTTATGATAATTCGGTTGAAGAACCTGTAACCCGCAATCATGCATATTTACGTAGTGGGGTGATGAAAAGCACGAATTAAACAAGCTACAAGAATGTCCCTGCTGACCAGGCAATGCTGATCGCAAAGTAACACAATCAGCGTACTCATCACGGAGGACGAGAATTTTCTCACGATCCTAGACGCACACAAAATCAGTCTCATCTCGCACGTGGGATACCAAAGACAACCTTCATTGGAACAACCAGTTTATTCTCCACATCAAGTGACATTCTGTGTTTTGATTCACTAATTGTTTTGACAGTTCACCAAAAATAAAGATTCTAGCATAAACATCGCATCACTACACTGCATTCAAACTTGAGTCCCCGCAATGAGAGTAATGTTCAACATGTTACTACTGGTGCAAAACAGTCAACTCAGTAACATTTACACGATTGGATTGTTTCGAAATTAATGTTACAGACATTACGGATGCGGGGTATAAAGACCAATAAACGCTACACCCAGCGCGCATTCATTCAAGATCCTTCAAAGCTTCTGGCTTCTGAGCATCTCATCTGAGTAGAAGGCGATACCCAAGTAGCATCAATACAACCGAGTAGGTTTGGTCTCTGGTAGCACTACATGCGATTTAATATTTCGCGATGATCTCTGTTGCATCGCCATTTAACGCAACATTACTGATTCAAATGAATCATCTTAATATTAATGCATTGTAACATACACTTGGCTTCCTCGACCAAAAATTAAAATAGACGCATTCACTTACTTTCTGAATAGTGGATTTTAGTTAAATGTAATATCAGGGAGAAATACAATTTTTAATAATTATAAATACGTAGCCTATCCCACGAGCCAGTTGCATTGTCGCATTCCTTTGATCTCATCTACGGAATTCCACATTTAAAACAGCATAAAAATAACAAAGATTGCATTTGAACTGACGGCGTATTTCAATTGTTCGAAATATTGCCTTTACAACAAATCGATTCCTAGAAAACATACTAGTGAATTTGGTTGAAAACATTTGTGTTTCCTAGTAAAACATACTAACATACTACTGAACTAGTCATAGTTCAGGATATAAATATTAGGTGATGAGACTACAACGAAAAAGGCACATGCCGTCAAACACGCATTCTCCTACACCGGTTGTCGATTTAGATCGAAACAAACCCCATTACCAAACGAATCATAAACACATGCCTCACATTCAGAATTTCTTTGGTTATTTTATTAAGCCAGATTTTAAAACATTAAACTGGCTCATTTTATTGGACTGCTCGGAGAAAATTGCGTGCTATTTCGATCCGTTAAATGAACTGTAGATAATGAAAAGCTGGACACATATTCTTCATCACAACAATTAAATTTGTCGATCATGCTGAGTTGCTTCACTGAATCGGCAACACCTCGGATCGTTCGTCTAGTAGTGGAGAGCGGCCCGAACTAGTATTTAAATTCGAATCGCGGCATTCGCAGGCGAGCGGCTCACCTGAGCGCGTGCAGGAACCTCTCCATGTTGTCCACATTCCCCGCGGCGAGCAGAGCCTCCGCGATGCACGTCACTTGCTCGTCGTTGAAGGTGGCCGTTTTCTTCCCGCCGCTGGCGACGGTCGAGGTGC